TATTTTATATTATTATTATTATTATTATTATTATTATTATTATTATTATTATTATTATTATTATTAACAGTAATTTTCATGTGATTGATGAAAATTTTATTGAATTCTGTATTCCCCGAAATTTCCAGGATCTGTAACCTTGACATTTTGGGATTTTATCGGCAGTTTTTATTAATTTAATAGTTTATTTATATTTATTTATCAATTTTTAAATGCACTGGGCGGCGAGAGGGTGGCGGTTAGTTGCAGAGGGGAGCGAGGGCGGTGGAGAGGACTAGGAACGACGCACATACAGTTCTGTCCTGGACTGGTGCTCTCAGTCGTTCGCCGGTTCGCGACTATAATGCTCGATCCGTTCTGTCTCCTACCGTCAGTATAATTATAACATCAATATTTTCCTCCAAATATTTCCCCCATTTCCCCCATTTCCCGGGTTAAATACCACCGTGTAGACAAATATAACAACTTTTGAGCAATTAAAAATAAAAATAAATCCCCACACATTTTTTGTTAACTAATAATAAATGTTCAATTCAGTTTTGCTATATTAACGAGTGTTAATAGCCTACGAATTCTTCACGTTCGTGTATTTTTTTCGGTTGGATTTTTGAGGCCTTGTGAATCGTGGAAAAATGTTTTTTGCAGTTTTTTTTTGTGGTTGATATTTATTGTTATTTATTGTTAACAGATGGTAGAAGTGCAAATTGCGGGATGAATATTTGGTAATAGTTGACCAATGGTTCACTTGAAAGCATTCGATTTTTAAATACCAGTGTGGCGTGGATCAAAACAATTAATTTACAAATCCAATAATCGGTGGTAGAATATGCAATTTATTGTTAACCATTAACAAATGAGAGTTTAATGTGAGAGAATAAATATTCATTAATATTGTGAGGTGGAAGTCGAAGTTATACCGCGCTCCTTTGATAGCTTGCGAGTCTTTTTAAGCTACCTCCGAATCTATGGCAGATACCGAAAATTTTATTATTTCCTTTTTTGTAGCTCTTGATTTCCTCCATAAAAACGGTCATTACCAAAATTTCGATATCTCCCGTGAGTCCCGAGATATTCACTAAAAAATAAGCACCAAAAACTTGATTACCGAGAAAACACTTTGGGGACTGAATTTTAACAATAACCAATTATTTTAACAGTGCATAAACAAATTCCTGGGATTATAATCACTGAATCTAAATTGCCTACCAAAAAAATTGAGACGAAAATCCCATTTTCTAAATCCATTTCTCCCGTGAATTATGTAGGGTGTGAATTAATGTTTTTTCCTGACAAATTAAATATTTACAATTGAATATTAATTACCGCCCCTTTATTATTAGTTTTTAGTTATTGATATTCAACAATAGTTAAACCTAGGCCTGTAGAAATAAAATGGGTAATTATCACCCCAGATTTTCCCGAAGTGTTCAATAAAATAGTAATGAACTCCCAGACGTTAAAATTCAGTTGCCAAAATTTTATCGTACGCATTTCGCGGACTTTTGCGCAGTTACGAGGCGTGTGTGCGTTACACATAATCGAGGCCAATGCACACTCTCAAAAATTACCCCCCACCCACCACCCACCACCCCCTAACCCCCCGCCCGTTTAAAATCGAGATCGTTGACGCGACGATCTGTAATTCGCGATTTAACGAAAGTCTAAATATATTCGTCCCTCCAAATCATTAATTTAAAAATAATTCAGTGAAATACACGAGTCGAAGAGGCAGACGCGAACTTGACCACTCGAAACCGCGATAGAGAGGAAAAAAAAAAAGTAAATAAAATAACTTTTAGTTGAGCAATCCGTCAGTGCAAAAGAATCTTGACCTTGGACTTGCAGGCGTTTGAATTTGAGTCATCGGTTTGGTCTGCGGTGGCAAATGTTAATGTTCTCTCTGAATCCCTTTATTGCGCAGGCGAATTGCCGAGATAACACAATTTTAGTGATATCGGGTGGATGAATAACCAGGCCGTCGACATTTATTTTTTGCGATAAGGATCACCTTGAAGTGGGTAATTGCAAGTTCACGCCCGAGCAGAAAAAATGTTTTCCGATGATAATTCAGTGGCCGAGTGATAACAGTCGACGGAGCGCCGCACCAAGTTTTCGGCGAATATCTGCGAATCCGAAGGAGATAGCCACAATTTCATTATAACCTATTTTGTAGCTTGCGATTGTTCCTACAAAAAAGGTCATTATAAAAATTTCGGTATCTAGACTCAATCCTGAGGAATACACGGAAAACCGGTTAGTAGCGGAAATCAGACGGGACCAAGTATTCGGGAGATATCTTGCAATCCAACAAAGATAGCGAAAATTTCGTTAAGTTATTTTTTGTAGTTCTTGATCAGCTCTACAAAAAAGGTCTTGACAGAAATTTCGATAGTTGCACTCAATCTCGAGGAATTGATGAAAAACTGATGGATATTGGAATTCAGGGGGATTCGACAAGGACTTTTTTGGGAGATTGCTGGCTGATTTTAGGGGGAATTTTTCAGGGCGATCTTGGTGAAGACATGCGATTTCCACATCCTGGAATATAGTGCAAACATTGAGTGGAGAAGTGAAACCGTGGGGAAGATATCGATTCCACAGTCGCTATATCGCTCTATGCACCCGCTTGAGGGCCAGACATTGGCCTTGAAATTCTCGCCGCCAAGTCCTAGTCCCCCGCGGATACCCCTGAAAACCCATATACGTTTGTCTTTCGCACCAGAGCAAATAGATTAAAAAAATAAGATATGGTATAAAAACAGTCTGCTCTCACCACTCGATCTCGTCGTGTTCTCGTGATAAATGCGTCGGAACAGCGTCTTCATTCACACATCTCAAGACCCCCGAAACCCCATTTTTTTTTTACATCCTTAACTATTTTTTTTATTAATTCTATAATTCAGTCACCTAGTGCCACGAGAGAAACTGAAAATCCAGCTCATTGGATTCGTCGGAAATTTTCCACTTCTTTTACTTCTGCAGAAATGTTTGCGAAACTAAAGGAGATAACGATTTTTTTTTTTATCTTTTTTCTGAAGTCATTTGGGGCTTAGAAAAAAGATTATTGCGGGCATTTCATTTAATTTTTTAAAGGAAAATAAAACATTAGATTATAAAGAATTAACGAATTTTTGATATCTACCTTTTATAAAGCTCTTCGTAACACAAATTTAATTTTCTTAATGAAAAAATTGTTATCTCCCTTAGATTCCGAGAAATCCTCCGAAAAATCAACTAAAAAACGGCTCGACTTGCACCTTTCACTTTTGGCTCCTGAATCAAACTAAAATTCATCTCCTTATTATTTTCCCTGCAGTCCAAATCTTGAACAGCAGAATTCCTCGCATTTCCAGTGACAGTAAAAATAAAAAAAAAATCATACTAAACTGAAAAATTGAGTGAAAAAATCAAATTGCACTCGATCAAATCCCCAAATCAATCAGCGAAATCAATTTCACCCCGAAGTACCAACGCCAAAGACCCCTGGACCAGTGATTCGAGTGAACGAAGCCAAAACCGAAACCAAAATTATTTACGGAAAAGAAAAATGACCGTCAGATAAACGGACTATCGAAAGAATTACGCGAGTTCGTGGTAAATAGTGCCATATGGATTGTGAAAAAAAGTGCATAGATGTCATAGAGAATCGGTTGGAAAGAATTTGACTGGAAGAAGTGTCTCAGTTGAAGAGGAAAAAACCGGTTGCACAAGATGATGAAGAAGGAGAAACCGATGATGTCGGTGACGGCGATAATCCAGGGTGCCCAGGCACAACACTGGGCGCGTGGTAACACCTGTACGTTTCTTGTAAAAATATGTAATTACACATGTGAAATCATTACTGTCAAGTTAATTAACAATATTCAAACATCTCCACGTCGATACTCTTCATAAAAAAATTTCACTTTCAGGCCCGGGTGGACCATCTATCGAAAGTAATCTTTTGTTTAAATTTGATAATTTTAGCGTAAAATATATTTAAATTTGGGATCAAATTTCTGTTGCAGGAAGCACTTGAATGGACATATAAAAAAATAATGAAAAAAATTAAATTCAGATACAAACTTGAATATCTCCCAACCAATAATCCGATTGAGCTCATTTTCAATACCAAATATTCCAGTACAAAGTGGAAACTGTACATCAAATTTCAAGTTGATATACCGATTTTTGCGCAGGTGAGAGTGCAAACAAGCATTTTTGGCAAAAAGACATGGAAGATGAAATATCTCGAAAAATTTGAACCAACCGGTATATATATTTTGATTACTTGTTATAGCTGACATCAAGACGAATATTTTGAATGAAAAAAAAATCATATCGGTTGGATAGTTTTTGAGATATTCCAGAAATTAGATCTACAAACGAATAAGAATGTTTCAAAAACGGTTGTATCGATTGGGCTGAATTTTAGGACAGAGTTAGTCGTCATTAATACCTATGATTCGACGAAGTGATGAATTTTTTTTGAATTTTTTAAGCCAGTTAATTCTACAATTTTCAAAAAACGTGACCTGATGGACATGCGCACATACACGCGGGGTGTTCAAATTTCGTATTTTTATATTTAAATTTATTGGTTCTTATTCTTTTATTTAAAGACCACTCTACATCATTTCCAAGCAAAATGAAGAAATCGAAAAATAAATCGATTACAATGCTTCCATTCGGAAGCAAAAAAGAGGAAAAATTATTGAAGGGCACTAAAGAGCGATATTGTTTAAAAGAGATCTATCAAGTTTATTAAAAAATTATAAACAATACGTGGCTTACCATGATGTGACACATTTGTGGCCGCAATTATATATCCGATATATATATACATATATATATGACATATGTAATCAGCTACGTTTTTTTATTATTTTTTAGTAATGAAGATGATAAACAACCGTTTCTTATATAACAATGATTACTCCTTCCATCAGGGCCATTAACGGTCATAAATTTGCAGAAAATTAAATGAGTTAATTTGAATTTTGCCAACGTTTCGAACACTATGTGTGTTCCTCATCAGGGCAATATTTATTTCTGTTAAAAAATTCAAAATTGCAAAATTCAAATTAACTCATTTAATTTTCTGCAAATTTATGACCGTTAATGGCCCTGATGGAAGGAGTAATCATTATTATTTTTTAGTAAAGTTGGTAGACCTCTTTTAAACAATATCGCTCTTTAGCGCCCTTCAATAATTTTTCCTCTTTTTTTTTCATTATTCTTTTATGGCCATTCAAATGCTTCCCGCAACACAAATTCGATACTAAATTAATATATTTTAATAATATATTTTAAACTAAAATGATCAAATTTAAACAAAAGATGACGTTTGATAGATAGTCCACCCGGGCATTAAATTTAAAAATAAAAAACTGATGGACATTTTTCAGGAATACAAAATTATTTCTGTTAATTCTCCAATGATTATATTCATCCATTTTATTTTATTTTGTCATCTTGAATAATAAAAGAATTTCTGGTGCTCAAATGCAAATGGCTGCAAATTCAGGTAATGACTCCTGAATTTTTCATATATTGAAAACTGAATTGCATTTAATATTCCATTTTCAAGATGATTGTGAGTTTAATTATTTTTTTACTTTAATTTCGTATTCAATTTTTTTGGGAAAATTGATTTATGGTTTGTTTAAAAGAAAAATAATAGAAATAGATTGCCGGATTTTTATAATCGCAGATATAATTAATCATTTTTTTTCCTGTAAAAATTAAAATTATCTTAAAACTTGTGGCAATTTTTATAGAAAACATTTTTTTGCGTGAAGACGAAAATTCCTTAATCAACTTGAACTGAAAATTCACCACGAGAATTGATAATCGAATTGAAAATTCCATTGAATTCTAAATATTAATGAATCGCGTAAATAATTAATTCAATTTATAACAAATTATAAAATTTATAACGTAAAACGTCAAAAAAAAATCGAAAGAAATTGCAGGATAAACTTCTCTCGAAAATGTCGCATGTCATTTGAAAATCTCTGCACTGATAATGAACACTAATTACCATTACCCTGACTAATCACTCGAACTCCTCTAATTACGATAAACCGCGATGTCCGCGATGTCCGCGATGTCCGCGAAGAAATTGCTGTATTCAACGGCAAAGAAATTCCCCGGGGGAAACGGTAATGTACCCCTTTGAAATTACCAACCGAATTATAATTACCCGCGACTAATTATCTCTCAAAAATAATATTTACCAGTGACGCGCATATGCTCGAAGGAAAATGAAGATGCCTCACATAAACATCGGCACACGTGTTTCGCTCATTTCCTGCGCTTCCTGTTGGTTATAACGAGCATCTAAAATATAACTGGATGCTAATTAAATGGGGGAGGCATACACTACATCACGAAATTTATTTACATCAACTAGATCAACAATTTCCTCTAATAACCCAAAATCATTAATTTTTTCACACCCAAAACTCAAATGAAAATTTCAATATGTGATTTCCACACATTTTTGGATTAAAAAAAATATATAGTTAAGTGTTAATTAATTAAATAAAAAGACGTTATCTCGCAAAATTTATTCATCAATAAAAATGAAAATGATTGATTAATGTTTGTCCCCCCAGAACCATCAAATAACGATTTGAGTAAAAAATTAGAGTGATAAATGAATTGAAAAAAATGAAATTTCCATTCAGTCGGGAAAAAGTTTCGGATTTCACTGAAAGAATTCCCGGACTGATTTGAATGTTCAATAAATGGTCGTGAATATTCAGTAGCCAATTATCCTCAATTTTCAATCAATTAGGAATTCAAGAATATATTTGTTTAAATATCCCCTGAATCATTGAACTAGAACTCTCAGAATCCATTAATTTTTCTAGTAACAATAGTAATAAAGAATAATAATAATAATCATGATTATTATAAAAAATTTAACGAGATCTTCTACCAATTGTCGACGTTTCGAATACTAAATTCATTATCAATAAAAATTTAAATAAAGTCACAGGATAATTAAGAGATTAATCAAAAATACAATTATAAAAATTCATATCGGTGATTATACCATAATTACGAAATTACGCAGTAATTCCAGGAGTAGAGTCAATATTTATTAATTAAGAATTCCTATTTTTATGTTTATTTACAGTCTGTAAATTTAAAAAAATCGCTGAAACGCATTTCAAAAACTTATGAAAGAAATTAAAAACCAGCAAAACATCATAATTATTATAATTAACATTAAACTAAGAATCAGTTAATCCAGAATAATTACCTTATTATGTAATTATTATTTATAACAGTTAGGAAAACTGTGAGAATTATGAAAAAGTATTAAGTTATATCATAATTTTATTATAAAATCATAAAAAAAATTATTCAATTTCCCTGTTTTTTTGGAGCCGTTCCATTTTGCTCTCCCCTGATAATAATGGAATAATTATTATTTTTCGTTGGAGTGAGAAGTTGTTATCGTGCGATAATAATCGGTAGCCCATACAAAAGTAGATTAGGTGTAAAAATGACAATAAAATGATGATGCACTAGGTTCGGTGATAAATACGTTGGATGGGGTGAAGGTCGGCTATTGAGTTGAATGATGATTTTGTCGACATCATCTCTGACGTGTCAGTGTTATCAGTCATGTCCCTGGCAAACTTCATTTCTAAGCCGTACATTATTATTAAATAGAAGGCCACTCTCGTTATCTTTTACATGCACGTGCATTTGCGCTCTCAATGTTCCTGTTCATGACGCTAAAAACATTTTTCCAATCTGCACTTGTTGGAAGTTCCAGACGGACTCAAAAAAAATCTTTAGAAACTTCACGGTATTTAATTTGATTGAGTACTGGCGAATATTCATGATAAAGTCATGAATTTTCTGTGGAATGAAAAAATAGAAAATTCCTATTTTTAGTTTTTTTGTAAATGATAATTAAGTTCTATGAAAAATTATCGCTATTTTCTTTAGGCTCAGAGATATTGGCGAGAGACTTTCTCAGAATTTTCATGGATTTTCCTCTTTTTCGGAATTTTCTGGAAATAATTCAATTGAAAAATGATTAATTTATTGATTTCTGCTTGTAAAATAAAAAAGAAAATAATTTTCAATTTCAACTCAAAATTTCGCCGAAAATTCGACCACGAAAATTGATTAAATCCAAATAATTAACATCTAAAATAACAATAATAAACGCTAATTAACTATCCGATTAATTTCACTGAAATCTCCATCACCCGTTTATTTTTCCCGATGTTTTCTGGATTGCCATTTGATAATTGCACAATCACGTGCTCTCGCTCATATCTCTATTTACCGGTGGAAAAAAGACCTTGAAAGGTTACGTGACGAAGAAAAAAAAAGTGCAAGACCTTTTATTCCCCTGGTCACACGTGCATTGAGGTTCATTGAAAGGATTTCACGTGGGCCGTGTGGTTTTCCAATAGTGCAGGGTCATTTGCTCCGTAATCCACCGGCTGTTTTTAGTGACAACTACACCACAAATCGACCTCATGACCTTCTACGATTGACCCAGGTACCTAGAGAATAATCTGCGCATGACTCGTTGATCTATATTAAGTGCAACTCTACACAGAATACATCACCATGAATTTTTTCAGGGCCTCGGTCAATTCCTCCATCATTATCGATTATTATTGGAGATGGATAATATCTTTGTTGGAATATTTGAGTACAGATCCTCCATTGTAGTATAAAAACTACTCGACAAAGATTTAAGACATACATATAGCTTATAATCGTTTCATTTTTCATTTTTTAGAACGTTTTAATGCTGAACATATGTTGAAATTTGAA